TAGTGCCGCTGGTGAAGACTATGATGATGATGATGGCGATGATGATGATGATGATGATGATGATGATGATGCGATACCATTGCATGTTTTAATGCGTCATGTGCTCAAGAAAATGTAGGCCACCGACAAGTGATCCTTTTCCAGCCCTTCTCGGGTCGAATTTGTCACAGAAGCGCATCCCAGCAAACTAGTTCAGAGTCCCTCTATCCTCTACCAAACGAGGTGTTGCCTCTTTGGAAACCTATCTATGCATATAGAGCTTAGCCTGATAGAAATGGCCCAGGTTTAGGCCAAAGCAGTACGTAGCTCAAAATGGGAATCTCCAGACGACACATGAAGAAGCTAATCCTTTTCCAATAACCCCTTGGGAAAGCTTTCTGGTTGTCAATCCAGAACTACAAATCCACAACCAGATCGAATCAGCCCATCGCCCCGCCCGGCGCCTGGTCGCAAGGTTTGATGCCCCCCGCCCCGTGGTTCGTCCTGGCTGCAGAGAGGTGGATCGCAATCCCAGCGAAGAAGGGCGGCAGCAGCAGGGTCAGATTCACCAGGCGGCGCTCCTGGACGGGGTGTCGGCCTAGATACCTAAATAAGTTGAGGATTCAGAACAGCTTGTGCAGGATTTGAAGATGACAGGCTCGATTCGTCATATGTCACAAGGTTTCTGTCATTCACAGCATGAACTCCGGGCTACGACATAGGAGAATTGTGCCGCAAGCAGGAGTGTGCCTGTCGACGTTTTGATGATATGTAACTACAGCATCCAAGCTTGACATTTGCACAGCAAGGCGGGTTATCATGGAATCGTTGTTGTGTTGGGGTTCGGGGCTGAGGATCCAGGGTTGATAACATGTTGAGTCAGAGGGCCTTCTTCGAACGATTGCTGCAGGTTTCCGTCTCGAGTGCCCTACATCCAGTTTGAGAGGCCCACGCCACTGGCGCGTTCTTTACAGGCTGGTTCTCGTTCGCCCTACTCAAGGAAGCATGGGACCTCCGTGGCCCAGATCTTGAACTCCAAAGATATCGAGGGCCACTTGGGACCCCAGGACTTCTGTGTGCGGTGACCCTGAAGCGGCTGTTCCTACGTCTCGGGCACTCGTAGGTTGAGATCTTAGCATGGGGTGCAAGGAACATGCACCACTCCTGGATGCTGCAGAACAAGTCTAACCTGAAGAGTGTGGCGGAGGAGAAAGCTCCAGCTAGCAGGGAGAGCCATGCGGCCCCAGGATTCTGTCCACGGACAGGCCAGTGATCCATTTTCGACATGAAATGTCCCAGGGAGTAGTAGCAGCATACCATAAGCATCTGCTGACATGCTACGAGCAGGCAGATGCGTGCGTAGGCATCGAAGCAGCAATAACCCCTCTGAACACGCCGCAGCATCCAGAAGTGCGAGTGCATCACGGCACTGCGGCCAGGACCACCGTTGTCTGAGTTCTCGAGATGATGCAGGACCTCCTCGCCAGCATAGGGGGCATCTGCGAGCCAGTCGACAGCTGCCGTCTTCTTCGCGCCCTTCACCCGGCCCTTCCGCTGCTGGGCGGAGGGGAACGGAACCGTTCGGTTCGCCGAGGCCGTGTTCTGAACCGAGGGAACGCTTTCCATCTCGGTGTCAAAGGGCACGATGAAGGCCGGAGGCTGGAAGAAACGCCCAGTACCACCGGCCTGCATGTAGCTCTGGTAACCCCCGAAAGCCCCAAGACCAAACTCTAGACTCCACAGTCCCCAACCCCCTCACCCCACCCTATCTCCCAAGTTGCCTCGAAGTTCTCCTGCTCCCTTGTGGCATCCTGGACGTCCTTGAGCGTGGGCACCGGCGGCCGAACCGCCTGGGTCAAGATCTTGACCTGGACTCTCAACACTGCCAGGGCAGGGAGGAGCCTATTTTGGAGTTGGGCCTTGGGCAAATTGGGGCACTGCCCGGGGTTTCAGCTTGAGGGCTGAGGATATCATTTTGGGGACTTTGGGCTTGGGGCTCGGCCCTGAGTGGTTCTTACCTTTGTACCTTGGAGCTTGCTCTACGCTGTCTGTTGTGAGTCCTAGGCTTTGCAAGGGCTCCTGGGACCAGCTGTGGCGCCAGGTGTCAAAACAAAACCAAAACGCCCATAGTCCCAACCCCGACGCAGGCTCGCCTTCGCCGAACGTTGGGAGATGGAGCCGTGCATTCCTAGCCACACGCAGAGCATCCCAAAGGTGATGCAGGCGAAGACCGTGTTGTTCCACATCGGCAGTAGCCATCTGGGCTCTGGAGGGAAGGCCGGGTAGCCCACAAAGATGAAGTTCATGACAGCTGTGACGACCAATGCGCCCACCAGGATGTAGTTATCCATGGAGGAGGTCGATAGTCCAAACACGTCGTGGACATCCTCGCGAAAAAGTCCCCACTGTGCCAAGCGCATGCTCTGCACCTGGTAGATACAGGTCTGTCTCTGCTCCGCATCGAATTTAAAACGATCCAGGTTGTAGTAGTACACAGAGGCAGCAGCGCCTGCTGAAGCAACAACGGGTATCTCCATGATAAAAGGAAAAATGCGCGCCTTTCCGCACCGGCTATTCCGCCGTCTCAACTGTGAGCCTAGCGCTGATGCCCGGGCAACTCGACGTCCACATGTCAAAATCTCACCGACAGCCCTCCCCGAGCCACGACGCAGCAGAATCTGCAGAAGCTCTGACGCGTAACCATTGAGATTGCTGTTGCTAACTAGTCTTATCATAAACACCCAAATTCTCAAGTCCTGGCGGCCCTAGCCGCCCTTACCCCTGTTACAGAATCAGCCCTCTGCTGATCCCGAAACTCCAGGGATGTGGCTTTGGCAGGGTGATGATGTTCTCCTTCAGCTTGGCCCACTCCTGCTGCAGGCTCTAGACGGTTCGGAGAAGACCGATCTTGAGTTCGGGCCGCCGAAACTCCGCAAAGTCAACCCCAGGCCTCAAACCTAATGTAGAGGCCTACTGTAAATAACTACCAACACTATTTTTTTGGGGGTTCCTGATTATAATTATACGTAGTATGTATGTATGTATGTATGTATGTATGTATGTATGTATGTATGTATGTATGTATGTATGTATGTATGTATGTATATATATATAGATAGATATAGATATAGATATAAATATATATATATATAGATAGATAGAACGGACCCCAACACCTGTTCTAGTTGTTAAGGCCCCTATATTAAATCCCAAACTCTCAGCTTTCGAGCCCCACATCAATGGAACTTCTTTCTGACGAATCACGACATGAGGTCTCCTGGGAGCATGTCAGGGAAGTAGGAAGCCCAAAACCTCAAAACCTCGAACATAGGGGCGTGAAGAAGAAGCAAGTTCAAGAAGGTTTTTTGGGGGTAGTATACTTGTAATAGGAGCTTCAAGAAATAGTATAACAAAGCATTCCGCAAACCCTAACCCCGAAGCCCTAAACCGTGCTACATCAAAGCTCCAAATCCAGGGCTTGGCGTCGTAACCCTAAACCCCAAACCCTAAACCCAATGCCCTAACCTCTAAAACCTAAACCCTCAACTCTAAAACCTAAACCCTAAACTCTACATAAACCCCAAACCCCAAACCCTAAACTCGAAAACCCAAACCCTAAACTCTAAATAAACCCCAAACCCTAAACCCTAAACTCTAAAACCTAAACCCTAAACCCCAAAGCCTAAACCCTAAACTCTAAAACCTAAACCCTAAACCCCAAACCCCGAACCCGAAGCCCCAAACAGGCCTTGGCGTCGAAATAGAGTTTGCAGATCTTGCAAACCAGCTTCGAGGTCGAAAGCCCATCAGAGGCCTCAGGGCTTAGGGGCTTAGGGGCTTAGGGATTTAGGGGGGTTAGGCGTAGGGATTTAGGGGGGTTTCGTGCTTAGGGATTTAGGGGGGTTAGGTCTAGGGATTTGGGGGTTTTCGGAGGGATTTAATTTAAGGGCTCAGGGCTTAGGGATTTAGAGGGTTAGGTGTGGGGATTTCGGGGGGTTAGGAGGGATTCCGAGGTTTAGGGATGAAGGCTTTCGGATTCAGTGATTTGGGAATAGCGTCAAGGTTGAGGGTTCAGGGGGCAGCGAGGATACTGAAAACCTGAAGCTGGTTCCCTGGCCTGCCGGGTCTTCTTTTCGAGGCCCAACCTCGGCTGCCAAGAAAACGATGAGGGGGGGGGGGGGGGGGGGGNNGTTTAGGGGTTTAGGGTTTAGGTGCCTTTTTTCTGAGTTAGGGCGGCTTTCAGGCTTGGGGTTTAGGGTTTATGTGGGGGTTGAGGGTTTTAACAGGCTTTTATAAGGGCTCTTAAAGGGGTTGCTAGGCGGGTTTAGGGTCTACGGGCCGTTGTAATTAGTAATCAGAGAAGGGTTAATCGTAAGCGTGCAAGGCTTCTGTAAGGATTTCGTACAGGGGTCTTACTGTGTAGAACAGGGTTCTGGGGCATATTCTACCGTAAGTGGCACCTAGTGCTCAGGGTTTAGGCGCGGTTTAATCGAATGTTCCTTTCCCTGGTTCCTTGTTAAGGGTTCCCGCCGGTTTTCTGTAAGAATGTTACTATAAAGGAGCCTTGAACCTTAGAAGGTCAGTGTAGTATTGCGATGTTGGCACTTATCGGGGAATGCGACTGCAAAGGATTAGGGCTCCTACACAGTGCAGCGGAGTGAATTAGGGATCTTACTGATGAGGTTTTTAGTTGGTTTGATACTGTGATTATATGGGGGGCCATAGTGTAGGGTATGGGGTTTTCAGGGTCTGCGGCTTTAGGGATCAATTGCTTAACCAGGCTTCCGTGTCCGCGTCACGAAATCGGGAAAAGAATATAGTGGAGGGGCCTTAAGAATTAGAACAGGGTATTGGGGTATGTTATACTATGATTACCATAAGAAACCCGCAAAAAAACAAAACTGTTGGTGATTATTTGGGGGTTTCCGAAAATAGGGGACCCTAATATAGTACCCTAAATAGTAGGATCCTTATTATAAGGACCCCAAAATAAGGTAGCCCTTATTTTTGGAAACCCCCATTTAGGCCTCTACATTTCTCCCCTGGGCCCCGGGCAGCATCTCCACCGCTTCCTCGAGCCGGCCCGCCTCGAGTTCCAGGAAAAGGACTACAGTCGCTTGAAGGTTTAGGGCTTTTTGCGGTTTAGGGTTTAGGGTTTAGGGTTTAGGGGTCTGGAATACGACTTTCAGTGAGGGTTCAAAGGAACAATAGCTGACATAACAAGAGCACTGCGCCTTGGCGTAGGCTGTTGGGCTTCGGGCTTGAGGTTAGGACGTGAGGACTTGATTGAAGGCTTTGGAGCATCTGCAGAGTATATGGTTTGCAACGGAATAGTGTGCGGGTTGTGATGATGAAGATGTGCTTGCTGTTGTTGTTGATGATGAAGATAGTGAACAGTGAACACTGGCAATGCTTGATGTTAGTCTGCTTCTCCTCAGCATCGCAACCGTGGTTCCTCTGGCGATCAAAACTTCGCCAATCTAGGTGCTAACTTTCTGAATTATTGGAATACATATACATATATTGTGTGTATATATATATATACATAACGAAGAACTCACATTATTTAACGAGAACTGCCATCACCACCTCATTCACCCAGCCTGGGCCATGCCATCCACGCGAGCTAAGAGCTCCTCGGCCTCCGCAGCTGGCTGCTACCACTACCGTACCGGGTCCATGAAGGTTACTATGCATAAGTTCTATAAGGGGTTGTAATAAGGGCTCTATAAAGGTTCTACAAGGGTTCTAGAAGGGCTCCAGCAGGGTTCTATGAGGGTTCTATAAGGGTTTAGGGCACTGCAGGTTTAGGGGTTAGAGCTTAAGGCTTAAAGTTTAATGCCCTACTCAGGGTCCATGTGCCTGTACCTTCACGGGCCATGACGGTTACTATTACTACAAGGGGTTCTGTGAGGGTTAAGGGTCTAAGGGTCCATGTACCCCAAATGGTATATACTTCGGCCCTTTCAAGTACCCACATAGGGACTACTTCAAGGCCAAAGTATTTACCACATGAGTACATGGTGCCTGGGGCTATCTTACAGCAAGTCCTCCATGAATTCTACTAGTAAGCCTTATGATTAGTAACACTTTAATAGTAAGCCCCATTCTATTCAGGGTCCTTATTCCTATGTTTTGCTAGCTATATTTCGAGTCGTTTTTTGGTAGCATTGGTGATGTTCTTATAGCACTGGTTCTTCGGTTTATTCGACCAATCCTATTGTGCTGAGTACTGCAGCCACCCACTGCACAGCTCCTGCTTCAGCAAGACACTGTTCGAGTAGAACCGCTGCGAGGAGCCCTCAAGTTTAGGTAGAGCTGGAGCGCGGGTGGACATCGTCCGGCGCGAACACATCCCTGCACACACCGCAACTGCAGTTGGTGCCGTCATCACCCAACAAATCTGATCCAGAACCTAGAACCCTAAACCCGAAACCCTAGAGGTTCGAGCCTGAAACCCCTAAAATCTAGAGGTTCGAACCTTAAACCCTAAACCCTAGGGGTTCGAACCCTATAAACGCCAAAGCCGTAAACCAAGGAAGGCCTCCTTGCTGTAGTCCTCAGTGGCCTTCGGGTCCTGGGAATACGCGAGACCAAAATCTGGAGGAGGGTTGTTGGGTGTTCTTAGTTTGGGGATCTTGGGGTTTAAGGGCTTAGGGGTTTCGGTACTATGTTTTTATGAAAAGATACCCCGGTAGGACCATGAGGGAAGATAAGAAGTGCCACAAAGCTTCAGCGAGCTTCAGGTTCGGCGTGGAAGGCTTAGGTCTCGGGGGGTGTCTGGATTGCAAAGAGCACATTGGGGTTCCCGACCTCTAGGATGACGGCTGGGTGCTGGAAGTGAAAGGCTTTGGCACCATCACCAGCACCATCGTGGCCATGGCAGTGATATGTGGTGATCATCATGGGGTCTTCCTCCGCGGCCTCCTCCTCTCGTCATCCCCGTCCCCCTCGTCCTCCTCCTCCTCCGCCTCGTCCTCCTCCTCCGGCTCCTCCTGCTCCTCCTGCTCCTCCTCCTCCTCCTCCGCCTTCTCCGCCTCCGCCTCCTCCTCCTCCTCCTCCTTCTGACCGGCGGCGGGAGCATCATCAGTTTTGCATAGTTTTGCTCTCCTCACCATCTAAGTCAACCCATTTCATTCTCGACACGGCTATCATTAGGGTCTCATGAAGCTCCTTCGCCAGGCTCCCAAGGAGAGGATTCAGCGTGTCCGCCTGGGCAGACGCTGTGTCGTCGTTGAGACTTTCTTGTGGGACGTAGACTTACACTAACTCCCAAGATGTTTTCGGGTAACGGCCGACTGTTGATTGCATGCACCGCTTAATCAGAGAACTCCAAGCTCCGTGTCGGAGGGGCATTCTGTAAATTCTACGGCACTGTCTGCTTAAAAGATCACGCGGTGATTCGGGGTCTTGGACACTAGCGACCTGCCTTTGGGTTCTGGCAGTCTGCATTGCTTCTTGCTCCTGTGGCCTGTGCCGCTAACACCTGAACGCAGGAGCTCCTCCTTAACCTGTCTTAAAGCCTGATCTGAACCCTGAACCCTTCATCCTGCGGACCTCCCCCCTCCCCCCCCCCGGCTAAACGCACACAACTCTGGGCTCCCCGACCATACCTCCAGGCCTGCGGGCGGAGGGCACGCCGAAGCCCCGGGAACCCTCCGGTCAAGCTATGGCCGAACCAACATGGCTGCCGGCGGGGAGGCTCAGTGCTTTTGGGGTTCAGGGTCAGGGTCCTTCTTTAAAGTGCGGTGGTCAGGGGTGTTTTAGCGTGTAGGGTTTTCGTATTTGTGGCTTGGGGTTTGAAATAGGGTTGAATGTATCTGTAAGGTTTGCAGAGTTTGCATGGGGAATTCGAGCTGGGACTGACTTAACTTTAGGTGGCCTGAGGGTTCTATGGGTTGGAGTCGAGACATGCTTTGCGCATCGCGGCCTTTGTGGTGGGGCTCGGGCTCTGTGCCTTGCGGGCTTTTGCTTCAGAGTTCCCTTACGGCTTTGGAGCGAAGGGCTTCGGGTTGAGTTGCGGCTTTCGGGCTCCGGGTTTACCCTAAACCCTAAACGCCCTAAACCCTACAGCGACTTTTTGCGCGGCTCGCGTCTGTCCTGAGGGAGGACTTCGGTCGAAACCTCCGCCGAAGCCGCCAAAGGCCGAGACCTCGAAGCCTCGGCGCTTGGCGGCGGGGCTCGGGCTCTTGCACGGGAGGCAAGAGAACCTTGGTCCGAAGACCTGCTGATTCTGGCGATAGGGGATAGTTCTCGAACTTCGGGTCCCTTTTTGGGTTCCCCAAATATATTACGGCAGCCTTGTAAGAAGGTCCCTAAAAGGGACCCAGAACTCCCCATAAAGGGGTTGAGCTCGGGGTCCAAGTTCCCGAAGCTGAAAGCCCGAAGCCAGAAATCCCTAAAGCGAGGCTCTTGTCAGGCCGGCTCTCCGATGCGCTGGCGCTTGCTGCCGTGCTTCTCCCGGTGATCCTTCACGGAGGGCCCATAATACCCTTGAGCTGGTACCCGATTTATTTACAAGCACACTTCTATAGTAGCTCGGATAGCTTTTTAATTATGAGGGCGTTCTAAGATGTTACAAGGCTTCTGCTACGGTGTTGAGATGGCTCGCATGGGGCTTTCATAAGAAGTCTTCCCGTTTTTAGGACAGAAACGATCCAGAGCTTGTTGGAATAGGGCTTTGGGAGGAGGCTCTGCGAGGCTCGTGGCGTTTATGCCATCTAAGGTGGTTCAGGGGCCTAGGGGGAATGCTAGGAACGAGGTTTGCGGATCAAACTTAGTACTCCCCGAAAGCAAAGCCCTGAACTCTAAGAGCCCCGGCCCTGCAAGTGAGGCCCCCCGGCCTCGAAAAGCTGCACGAGGGGCTCGCGTTGAAGACTGGATGCCAAACCCACGGGCCTTGGGGATTAGGCGATTAGGTGATTAGGGTTCAGGGTTTGGAGGTTTTGGGGCGACGGTTCAGAGTCGAGGGTTTTAGACTAGGGGTTTGGTTGGGGGCGACAAAAAAACAACTGCTAGGCTCTTAAAGCTCAAGTCTATGCCAGGGTTTATCGAGTCCGGCTTTGCATCGCAACATAAGACTTCAGAATGCCACTGCCAACCGAAGAGCGTGCGAAACGCGGCGTCCTTTGCATCTGGGTCGGCCCTGGCGAACAGTAGGAGACGTGCAATGTCCTTGTGGCCCTCGGTGACAGCTGCAAAGAGCGGTGTTTGTTCAGCTTCAGCTCGCGAGTCCACATGGGCACGGGAGGCGAGCAGCACGGAAACCGTCTCATAAGAGCCTCCACGACATGCAGCAAAGAGAGGCGTGCAGCCCATCCACCTAGCCTCCCGATCAGCACCAGCTATGAGCAGCATCTGTACGATATCTTCGTAGCCATCCCTGCAGGCAGCATGAAGAGCTGCAACGTCCCAGTCTGCTCCTGCGTCCAGCAAAGCCCATGCGACATCCCCATGCCCTTCGGCAGAGGCGACATGCAACGGGCTTCTGCCTTCGCTGTTTAGTCGGTTCGTATCAGCTTTTGCCTTCACCAGCAAGTGCACTACCGCTTCACTGTCTTCTAGACATGCAGCATGAAGGGGCATCTCACCGTCAGGGTCAGGCGCGTTGGCATCGGCCCTTGCTTCCAGGAGCAAGCGCACTATTTCTGCGTGCCCTCCCTCACATGCTGCGACTAGAGGTAGGGACCCGTAAGCAGGGCAGGTATCGGCTTTTGCGCCGGCCTCCAGCAGTAAGCGCACGACTTCCTCGCGACCTTCTGCAGATGCAGCAAGCAGCGGTGTGTTAACGTCGTCCACGATCCTGTCTGCGTCAGCACAGGCCTCGAGCAGTAAGCTCGCGATGTGGCTGTGGCCAAGCACCGATGCTTGGCAGAGGGGCGTGGTTACGTCGTTTGTTTCATTTGTGGTGGCCCAGTTCGGATCCTGAGGTCGGTGTAGGATCGCTTCAACCTCGTCCGCATTGCCATCTGCAGCTGCTGCGATGAGCTCGCGCGCGTGAAGGTCGCAAGGCTCGTCGGGAAAGGACAGGAACACCAGTTGCAAGTCCATATCTTCGGAGAGACGCGCAGTCTCATCCAAGCTGTCACCCTGGTGCACGAGCCTTTGCCTGAACCGTGGAATGCCACACCTGCTCCTGAGGTCCTGCTTTAGGTCTCGCACACACTGTAAGTCTGTCCTGTTCTCCGTGGATATGGTCGCAAGCTCCTCCCCTGTGGCAGCCATCACGATGCGAACCATCTCGAGGGAGAATCTGCCAGCTACTTGCTGGTGCAGGTCACAGAGGAATCCACTGTCGTACAGTCTCACCGCGAGGAGGATTCATATAGGGGTCTTAAACATTGAGTAGGGTTTTGGACCATATCCTACTGTAGGTATGCGTAATCGGGAACCCTGATATAAGGAATGCTACAGTATATGCAGGCTCCATTTGGACAAGATCGCAGGAGCACCTGATGCTCTCGAGTGGGTGGTGTTTGGGGATTGGGGCCGCTTAGGGGTTGGGGCTTTGGGCTCAGGGTTTAGAGTTGCCTTGCAACACTTAGGCACAGGACACCGTGGGAGCATGCGAGCGTAGCAAAACGCAAACCAACAAACTGCACAGCCCTGAATAGCAATCCCCCTTCAAGCCCTTCTGTATGCGGAGTCCTATTAACCTCCGAGTTTTTAAAACCCTCAGCCGCGCCAAAACCACCCTCAAGCCACCGAGCCCAGAAGGCTCAACAAAAAGCCGTAAAAACCCCAAACGCCTCAAACCGAAACCCCTAAACCGCTAAAGCCTAAACCGGGAAAAACGGCCGCAGCTCTTCTTTTTTCGCAGCTGTTACCCCTGCAGGCCGATGCCCAGTTTATCCTCGTCGAAGGGCGAGTCGAAGGAGGAGTCCTTTGGGGCTTTTGGGGGCTGAGGGCTTCTGATGGTAATAGTCTGATAAACGAACTTTGGGGCTTTTGCTAAGGGCTTCTGATGGTAATAGTCTGATAAATGCTTCATAGGATAGGTTTTCAGGGCATGTATGAGGAGGCTTTCTAGGATGTTTGAAGGATTCATCAGGGTTTCATCGGGTATGCATAAGGGTTTTGCAGACGTTTGCAGGGTGCTCTAGGGCTTCATCAGGGTTCTTGATTCTGGATGGGGTCTAGCTCTAGAGTTTTAGAGAGGTTTGTATGAGAATTCCCTAAACCCTAAACCCTACAGTTCTTGGTCGTAGTCTAGAAATACATCTGTTGGGGAGATCAGGGGTTTTGGTAGGGAGCTCTAGCGGCGTATGAGGAACGGCTTTTAGAAGATTCCCAAACGGTTTAGACGGGGTCTTTTGGGCTTCCGTGTCGTCGCGTTCTGGGGTCGGCTTAGAGCCTTCCTTCTTGTGGAGTTTGGGTCGCTCCATTTTGCTTTGCTGAAAAGTTTAATAATCACTTTAGGGTTGGGGGTCAGGGCTTATGGATTTTGCCTCATAGAATTTCGGGCCTTCTGGGTTGATGGTTTGGGGCCTTGTTTACAGGACTAGGATTTAAGCCTTGCTTGGCTTCCGGTGAAGGGAGTTTGGTCGCAAAAGGCTCTGAAAGGGATCCTTAAGCGGGGTTCATAAGGGCTCATCGGGTTCTGTAACATGGGGGCCTTATCAATTAGAGTAGGGTTCCTTTAAGCGTATAGGCGTTGAACGCAGAGCTTCAGGACAGGGCCAAAGCTTCAAAGCTAGCACGGCAGGTCGTCCAGGGCTATAGCCCCAATTGAGGCACTTCTACCCGCATTCGTCAGAACCCTGAATCCCCAAAGTCTGAGGGAAGTGAGTGCTAGTAGATGCTCGGGCACCCTGTCTCCATTTAAGACAGGGAATGGACAGGAGATGCTAGAAAGGGCTTCTACGGCCAGTTTCGGTGCTTCCGCCCGTGTTTGTGTCGTGGTTGCGCTGCGGTGCTTTGACCTACAGCTGGGATCCGAAATGCTGGTGCAGACAAGATTCCCAGCCGTTGTACTGGGTGTAGTCCTCAGCCTCCTCCAAGAAGGTCGCTGTTCAAACAGTCAGCTTAGCACTCAGGGAAGTTGTCATGGTAGTCGGTCTGAAGACTTCCTCATAGTTACTGTTCCCGCTGCAGGCCCAATACAGTTTACCGCAAAGCCCCTATCTCCGTTCAGACTGTGAGGCAGCTAAAAGCCTCAACAAGCCCTTAATAGAGGGTTGATGTAGGGTTTTAATAGGGTTTATTAAATTCATATAGGGTTAATTTTGGGTTTGTGTAGGGTTTCTGCAGGGTTTATATAGGGTTAATATAGGGTTTATATGGGGTTTAGGGTGAGATCCGTCAACCCTCAAGCTTGCACCCTGAAGCGTCAGCCTCATCGTCATCCCAAGGAGCCCACCTCGGCTTCGGATTTGGAGAGCGCGTAGGGTGGGATGTGAGTTTGGGGTTAAGGGTTTGGGGGTTTGGGGCTTAGGGATGTCTACAGGGTTTTGGGGTTTTGGGTTTGGGGTTTTAGGGATGTCCAGGGTTTAGGGATTCCGGGTTGCGGAAAGGAGCGGGCCCGGGTTTCGGGGCCGTGGAACATAACAAGCGAGGAACTTGTACTATCGCTCTTTTACACACTTCTCAGCTTCCATATCTACATGCCGGTGGTTGTCCAAATTCGGGTCTGTTCCCAATCTACATAGCGTGCCGTATTCAGAACAAATTTACGTAGGATTCCCCGCAAGGACCACGGTTTTGACAGTTATCGCATCGAAGCTGGCCAAACGGCTCTCTTGCGGCATTCGGAAAAGGGGGGGGTGGGTGGGGGTGGGTGAGAGCCGGAGGGATTTAGGGTTTAGGGTTTAGGGGAGCTTTGAAAGGAGTATACTAAAGACCATGCCCATGCTTTGGAGTGGCTCGAGGAAGACTCCACTCTTCCTTCATCTGAGGTTTTGCTGTGTCATGCGAAAACATACCAAACCAACTACCTGCATCCCCCCTGCCCCACAGATGCATCATTGAACATTCAAATGCTTTGACAGAATAACTATGAATCCCTGAACGCTAAGCCGTGCAACATGCCGAGTTCGGATGTCCAGCTGGACCATGCCCCTTTAGGGCATGGCTGAGACGATGTGACTGCCATGTCTGTCTTTACTACGACCACCTCCATCATGATCATGATCCACGATGCATGCATGGCTGGAATTGCAACGTACAGCATGACTAAAGCTACATGTCTACTGTGACTGTGACTCTTGCTACTGTTGCTTCTGCCGCCACTCGTCCGGTACTACTGCTACATGTGCGACGATGACAAGCACGCGATACGGCGATTACTACGAGTACTAGTCTAACAATTAGCGCTACTAGACATATTATATTCTTGCCATCACAATACAGTCGCTGCATTGGTTCTGCCGCCTTGTACCATCATGACTTGCTGTTACTAGTCAACGTCATGCTGTCACTGGTACTCTTGTGGCTACCATCATTCTGCCGGCTGTAATTGCTTCTGCACTGGTGCTGCGATCGTTGATGGTGAGTACATTTGCGCGTGCCAACATTGAAGGTGCTGCTGCTCACGTCAGTCTTGCGCATTGCTATTTGGCTCTTACCGGTGCAAGTTCAACACGATGCAAAGCCATCTGAAACCTCAAGCACCAGACAGCCAGGGCACCCTTCGTCAGCATCCCGCATCTCATCCTCCTCCTTGTCATTCAATGACTCGTCCAAGTCGTCCCAAACATCGTCGTCGTAGGAGCCCATGTTCTCCTGGGGGTAAGGCTTAACGGTTCAACGAGCTCTCAGGATTACAGACAAGAAGGCTTCAGGCTTCGGGGATAGGGGTGTATAGGATTTAGGGTTCAGCCTTCGTTCAGGAGAGGCTCGGGGTAGCTGTCCTTCATGCTGGCAGCAGTCATGCCGAGGCCGGGAGATTGAATCTACGATCTCTAGTAGAATCCGAAATCCCCTCATACTCTGTATGAGGAGTTGTCACGAAAACACCTTGTCGCGAAGGCTCGCTGGTTAGATATCGCCGCTTCTGCACCCGGGCAGATGCAGATGATTCTTGAGGCTCCTCCCTTCTGATAAATCCTACCCAAACCCCAAAACCCCCAAAACTATAAATCCGAAACCATTAAAAATTAAAAGCTTACCATCGCCGCCCCACCCCCGGAAGCCTCCTGGAAGAACTCGCGCAGCTCCTTCTCCGTGAGCCTCGGAGTTTGAGGTTTACGGCTCAGCCCGTTTTTTTTTGCTTTTTTTGGGGCGTGGGTGTTTTGGGCTTAGGGTGTTTGACTTGTAGGGAACACCTAGATAGGGATGGAAACTCACAAAACCGCGTGCGAGAGCGCTCAACCACAAACCACGGGTGTATCGTCACTACTGATCCCAAAACCCTATAAGCACTGAGCTCTCGGCCGCAAGAAAACCAATCGCACACCATGCCAAAATAAGCAGGAGCTTCAGTACGCTGTGAGGCTCACGAAAGCCATGCCACACCCCAGGGCTGCCCGTCTGAAGCCTTAGACTCCTTTGGTAAGAAAGGAAGCTGACAAGAAACAACCCAGAGCTCCTCAAGCCTGACATCATCTGTCTGGTGCTTAGTAGGGAATGGGGGAATGGGTTACAGGGACTACTATAAGGGACCTTAAGGGACTATCATAGGGATCTACTAAGCACCAGACAGTCATCGCTTTCTGGGGAGTCGGCTCCCTCTGATCTTCCTCGGCAGCCTCCTCTTCGCGCTGCACGCGCGCCGGGTCTGCCGGTGTCTGCCTGAGGCTGTCATTGTGTAGAGTTCACCGGCTCCGTGTTCAGGAGTTTATAGAGTTTAGGGTTACAGGATACACGGAGTTGTCCACTCTTTGCGGCCTTCAGGTCCTTCAGGGCCTGACGGCTACCAGGGGGTCTTGGGATGTAATACTTTGGGGTTGGAGGTCGTTCATGAGTTCTTGCGGCTGAGGGCCTGCGAAGGTTTGCACGGGTTGAGGGTGTAAGTAAGGTTGAAGGATGCGGCAAGATTTAGGCTTAAGTTCGGATGTTGACGTTCGTGGTTCCCAATGGTCTAAGAATGATGCAACAAGACTAATTAAAACAAACATGCGCGCACATTGCTGTCACTGACAACTATCTCGGTTGTCGGTGCGACGACGACGATGACAAGGAGTATGACGACTGGCAGTGCTGCAAACCTTGAATCCTGGGTCTGGGGCATACCCCTGTTCGTTGGCGGATTACCCCTAAACTGTAACCCTGAATAAGCCCTCCCAAACCCCGAAGCAGGAGGCCCTGGCTTCCACACAGGCTTCGGTGCAGCGGCTCTCTTCGCCCTCCAGTCCTTCCCAACAGGTGGAGAACTTGGGGTTAGGACGGAGTGTGTCTGGTTTCAATGCGAGGGTGGAGCTCCATGGAGCTCCGCTTTCAAATTCTCGGACTTGAAGTGCAGAATAGCGCAGCTTTTCCGTTTAGAGGTTCGGCGTGGGCGCATTAGCCTTGGCTGTTTTTTTCACGCTTCGGCTTCAAAGATGTGGAAAAGATTGGTGTTGGCCTTGAGGCCTTCGGCCAAGCAACTTCCAAAAACTCCTGAAGGTCAACCTTTCCAACCCTTCTTACTTCCCCGGATGCCTGTCTATATACCCCTCGTTCTCTACATCGACAAGCCCCCACTGGCCACCACACACCCGAAGCCCGAAATCCTTATCCCCGAAACGCTGAACCCCAAGACAAGCTAACGTAGGTTTAAGTTGGGCCATCCTGTGCACCATTTTTTGGACTCAGCCCACAGTCCTTCGACGTGGGGTCAAAACCTGGGTTTGAGCGAAAGAGTGGTTCGGAGGCTTCGGCAGGGGGCATGTGCTTAGATGTGCAGATGTGGGTGGATCCGGCAATCTTTGCTTGATGCTGGCTCCTGGCGGGGTTGCATTTTCGTGCATCGAATTGAGCAATTAGTCACTAGTCCGTGCCTGCCCGAAATATCCTTCATCACGCTATGTGGCCGAGCCATGCAACGAATGAACCTCCCTCCGAAAACCAACAATAACGTCACTAGCGCTCGCAAATCAATTTTGTTCTCATACACCCGTATAAAGCAGTTGAGGACGATGCAACTACACTAAGTACACATAGTGTTGGCCCACTCTCTGCTGCCAGGCATGCGGCCTCGGGCATGGGTTTCCCACGATCCAAAGCACCCGGTCGCTTTACAAGGTCATAAGTTTCGTATATCATCCTGAACATGCCAGAAAGAGTCAGAGCCCTTTGTGGCTTCGGCATAATCATCCGGGCAGGCGTGAACTCACCCGCACCCTTGACAGTCAACATATCTTTGATGGCCACTCCCGCGGAAGCCGATGCTTCAGAAGTGGTGTTCTTCCCAATCGTCCCTCAGGATGACCAGGTAATCCTCGTCTTCCCAACCATACCAGTAGGCATCTTCGTCTTGATGGTCATAGTCATAGTGCCGTTCATTTTCGTCACTTGGAACTGGATTGCACGTTCCTTCGGCTCCCACGGCCTCAACATCATCCGGTCGTGTAGCCCCCACACGATCATCGAGGTGGCTGCTGCCCGCTGACTCATCTTCACTGTTCTCGGTGTCACTCCTGTCCCAGTGATGCGATCCAATGTCGCAATACTCCGCATGCCACACGTGCTCCCTATCGTCATCTTCTGATTCGGAACGATCTTGCTGCTGGTGTAAGCCCATCCTGTGATACTTTGCCCACCCCAATCCGAGCAGAAAGCCCAACACCCCTGCACATAAGGAATGTCCCGGAAAAACCATAAAAAGTAAGGCCTGACAAACTTGAACCCTCAACAACCTAAAGCGCCCCCAACCGGGCCCCCGAGCGTTCCAGGCACCGAACACGCTCCTGGCAGGTTGCTTTTCGGGAGCATCAAATTGGGCTTAAGAATTTTGCATAGGTGTTTAGGGCGCAGGCTTAGGGCTTCTGGCCTTGCCTTAGGGTCAAGGTGTTTAGGGTTTCTGAAAGCATCTCGACCGTAAAAGTCAGACAACAGCGCTGCAGATTCCTGACGGATGTCTGTGCCACGTCATGGTCTGACTGACGGTATCGACACATAGGAGCTACTACTGTAGGAGAACACTCACCTGCAAGCAAACCCTAAACTCCAAGCCAACCCTTACTTGGAGTCCCTGGGACGCTCCTCGAAGTCAGCGCCCTTCGTTGTAAGCTTCTGACCTTTTCGGATCGAGGGAAAGAGAAGGGTACGGCGAGCGAGGACAGCGGTTGTCCGGCTTGGAGATTGGGAGTTGCAGCTTGGCGGCAGCTCCCCTTCAAGCAGCTACGCCAGGCAAGCAGGTAATCTCAACTGCTATGCGAAGTTCCCCACAACATTGGGCCAAATCGCACCCTAAAGCCCGGACCCTACAGCTAGACAGGACTGAAACGCGTTGACGAATCCCAGAGAATTCGGAGTTTGAAGGTTTACGAAGCCCACCTCAAACCTGCAAGCCTGGCCCAACTCTGAAACCCTGGCCGGCTTCGTCGCGACTTGCTGCGCTCCCCCGAGCCACGGGCATCGAATCGCAGCGGCTGTGATCTGCTTCCTAGGAAACTTGGAATTGAGATTCCGAGTTTGTGACCCCTTAAACCCTAAACCCTAAACCCTAAACCCTAAACCCTAAACCCTGAGATTCCGAGTTTGTGGCCCCTTGCCCCCCCACCCCGGTTTCGAACGAGGCCGCGACCCCATTCGGGCCTCTTTGGGCCCACAAAGCAGCGTCAACACCTGAGGGCTTTAGGATGAGTGAGGACTAAGAGCTAAGAGCTACCATACGGAATTTCAGTCAGAAGCAACATCTGCTACCATCCCCAGACAGAATCCATAAACTCTACTTCCTCTATATATGTAGACCCTAAGACCATGCAACTCCTACTCCTAAACTCGAAGGCTCCAGCCCCAAAAAGTGAAGCCTAAAAGTTAGAACCCCTTTGAAGTAATCCTTAGGGTTTAGGGTTCAGGGAGTTTAGGGTTTAGGGTTTAGGGTTTAGGATAACATACATGGGAACCTTGACTGCAACCCTTGTATTGTATGTGGCCCTTTGTTATATGAGGGCTTCCGAAAGTAGGGCACCCTAATATCAAAATAAGGTACCCCTTGTTTTCGGAAGCCCCCATCTAGAACCCTAAACCCTACGACCCAAAACCCATATAATTAGAACCTAACCCTAAACCCTAAACCCTAAACCCTAAACCCTAAATCCTAAACCGTCCTTCTTGGAGCCCCTGAATGTGTGCGGAGCCGGGCTCCCCCGCGCTTCCGCCCTTGTCCGCGCGAGCCGTCCTTCCAACCTCGGCCCGAACCCCGTAGGGTTTAGGGTTTAGGGTTTAGGGTTTAGGGTTTAGGGTTTAGGGTTTAGGGTTTAGGGAAGCACGGAGGGCGGGTTTGAGTTTGGGGTTTCTATGGGTTTTGGGTTTGGGGTTTCTATGGGTTTAGGGTTTAGGGGTTTCTATGGGTTTTGGGTTTAGGGGTTTATAGGGCTTTAGGGTTTTGGGCTTAGGGTTTATAGGGTTTTGGGTTTATAGGGTTTTGGGTTTAGGGTTTTAGGGTTTAGGGTTTTGGTTTTTTTGGGTTTTGGGTTTATAGGGTTCTGGGTTTATAGGGTTCTGGGTTTATAGGGTTTAGGGTTTAGCTCTTGGGTGCTGGGTTGGGGTGTGGCGAGCGATAAGGGTTCCGTAAGCAAGGAGATGCTTCGGGCTTTTGGCCTTAAAAGGATGAAGGTGCAAAGCCCAAAGGCCAAAAGTATCGAACTCCGAGACCTTTAAACGAAGCCTTCGAAAACCCCTGCTTTGAGCCCGAAACCCCGTAACCCTTGAACTGAACCCCAACAAATACCTACAAGCCCTGAGCACGACAAACTCAACTCCGACACCTCCCCGACAAAGCTGTCTAGGGGAGTCAACTCTCGAGTTTTGAGCTCCGCACCCTCCGACGTGTCTGAAGAATTAGGGCGTATGGGGCTTAGGGCGTTGAGGGTTTAGGGTGCTTAGGGCTTCGGGCGTTTAGGGCTTAGGGGGTGTAGGGCTTATACGGTCTAGGTTAGTAGATATCCCCTCAGTACATGGCCCCTCCTTTTGCAACTCTCTTGCAGTAACCTTTTAAAGGAAGCCCTCAAACCTAAACCCCTAAACCCTAAACCCTAAACCCCTAAACTCGGAAACCCCGAAACCCCTAAACCGCGAAACCTCTAAAGGCCCAGACCTCTAAACTCCAAAAAAGGGCCCCTAACCATTTTGCTGAGGACCCTGGCACGGCGTAGGTACTCCGTGGCATCCCGGGGCCAGTCCACGAGAACGACCTCAGTGTGTTTTTGTTGGGGGGTCCTTTTGGGGGCTTAGGGATTGATTAGGCCTTTAGGGATTTGGGTGTTGAGGGGTTTTGTAAGGCCTTCAGGGGCTATAGGGCTTTACAAGGCTTCGGGGGTTGCTGGGTTTCGGATTTGGGGGATAAGGCTCCCAAGGCTCATACTAGCTTTTCTCACGGGCATCAAGCTCCCGCTTAAGAGGTACCATGCTGTTGATGGCACGTCTAGGAACTTCTTGCAACCAAAACGGCGCAATTTCGGGGATCGAGCCTTTTAGCTTTACAGTCTGCTTGTGAGGACCCCAAACAAAACTCTCCCACCTCGAAGCCAAGTCAATCAGGTCGCAGCTAGCAGCTCTGGTAGCATGTGCCGCGCGTCACGGTGCATCTACCCTCACACTGCATGATTTCGCCCTTCAAAGCTTGCTCCTCTGCATCGTTGTAGTATGGTCCTCCACCAGGTGGAATGTGGCACCAGCGGTTGCAACTGCCAAAGCTGGAATCACAAGTTGCCTGGCATGCTGCAGCGCTTTGAGTACCACCGGCAGCCCCAACGGAGCAAGGCGACCCGTGCGACTGGCGGCAGGAGACCGCGCACGGGTCCTGGTTGATGCAGTCATCGTTGGCAATCCAGGAGCAGTCGCAGCCATTTGCAGAGCGCTGTGTCACGGTCGTGTTGCTCGTGTTCGTCAGACCTCGGAGGCCGGGCGCTGCGGCAGTCAGCGCTGCAAGCGCGGCCGCATTGAAGAACAGGCGAGAGAACATGGCACTTCGAGGGGGTGGGCGAGCAGGAAACTTTCGAAAGATCTTGCCCTCCAGCCAAAAGCCCGAAAATAAGCGATGAGCAAACTTTCCCGACTCCCAAACACGTTCTACAGAATCAGAATCCTGCGCCTGCAGCTACCGAGCTGGCCTTGGGGCCCTGAATGGGACGGGTTCGGAAGGGGTTATGTCTACAAGCACGTGCTGTACCAGAGGCTGAGCAAAGAGGATCCAGGCAGAAGCTTGCTCAGGGGCCTTGCACGCTCACCTCAAGTGGTTCTGCCGAGCGAAGCAAAACAAGAAGAAAAGATCATGTCCGATGAGATGCGATGGGGTCTTGGCCGACACAAGCTACCAACTGCGGGGACTTACAGCAAGAGGTTCACGCAGATGGGAGGCAGATTCGGTGTTTCAAGCAGTCGCATTCATACACTCTCCGTGTGGATCTACGGCTGCTGTGAGACGGCGCTTTTGTCGCATCTGCGGCTCGCCTTGT